AGGTCCACACAGTTTGAGTATAAGATATAGAATAATGCTTGGGATCACTAATTAGTGCTCCCACTAATTAGGTGGCAGTGGGTCCCGCCAGTAATGATGTGATGTTTTGATCTTGGAGTTGTATTTTTTTTTTTTTTTTTATTTCATTCGTAAACTATCTGTTTCATTTATTCAGTTCTGGAAGTTTTTAATTTCAGTTTAGAGTTATTTACAGAGAGACTCTTGAGAAATTACTGAAAAGTATTATTTTGACTCTCTAATTTATAAAATAAAAAAATTACTTATTTATTGAGAATAAATTAAAAAAATTATTAGTTGATTTTGAGATATAACGTTGATTATGTTTTTAGTCAATCATCAATTATCATAATTATTCTTCAATTACTCAATATGACGTGAATTTAATCATTTTTATTATCACAATACATATAAAATATCATATAATGCTATATGTATCAATTACTAATTCAGCAATGCTAGGTATCATGAAAAATCTTTCATGAAAATAGTCATGAAAAATTTGTGAGATTTGGATTACACTTACAATAAAGCACCACACACTAATCAAGATAATCTAAAGGTCACAAATTTTTCATGATCATTTTCATGACAAAATTTTCATGATCTCTAACATTTCTCTTAATAATTTTTCAATAAATTACCATATCCTTTTCATTGTAATGTAAAGACTTTTCTAGCATGGATATCTTTTTTAGGTGAATAAAGTAAAGATATCTATCAACCAAAAAATGGAAATCTAACAAAGCAGGTCGACAACTGGCATAAATGGACGGTTAGTTAATTCAAACCACCATTCAATTCTCAATTATTGGTGTCCAAGTGGCACCTCTTCTCAAATTTCACAATTTATAATAACAAATAAGGATTAAGATCCTTTTCTTTGCCGGAGTACCATAAAAAAAAGGATTAAGATCCTTTCCGCTAGCTTCGAAATATGTGCAAAGAAAAATATTACAAGTAAAAATATGCGCGGTGTGTGACTCGAATAGGAGTAAAATTAAAAATTAAATAGTGATTAGTAGATTGATAAATAATTAAATTATAATTTGAGATGATTTTATTTTGTTAGTTAATTAAAAACATTCTTAAATAATTATTAAGTATTTACATAATATATAATATTAATTTGTATAATATTTATATGTGTATATATATATAGCAGAAACTAATTTTATATAATATTTTTCAAATGTATAATTACTAACTTGTAATAAATTTCACATCTTAAATATCTCTTACATTCATTTTTACTTTGATATTTTATTAGAGGTTAAAAAATGTATCTATTAATTATGACGGAGTATAACTGTTTCGAAAGTAGATTATAAATTTCAAAATTTAATCCGCGGTTTGTGATAGGCCGTTTGGCAAACTAAATATAAAGAACTAAACTCGGTTTCAATTCCGTAGAATAGAGTTAAATTTAGGTATCGATCAACCGGGACTAATGTAAAACTTAACTATTTTAATTGTAAGATTCCTAAGTTAATTTGATGAGAATAGTTGATGGATATAAATATTGAACTGAGAGTTAAAATGAAAATGAGAAATTAAGTTAATAATAAATATTAGGGTTGAGAAATTGAGTTGGGAAAAATCTTAGGGCAATATTAGGGTTCCTAAGCAAACTTTTTTTTTATAAATATTTTAGTCAATTTTTTTAATTTTGTAGATATATCCAGAAAGTATAAAAATTTAACTAAAATATGAAAAAAAAAAATTCACTAAAAACAAATGAAAACGCGAACAAAAATACACAAATTTTTATTTGAACTAGTGGGGTGCACATGTGTTGTACATGATTTTTATCTAATCTAATATACTGTAATGTAATTGATTTTTAAAAGCCCTTGTTTCTTGTAGTTGTCCTTGTATATAGAGAACAAATTTTAGAATAGAATGAGCATACTAAACAATGCATCATTTTATAAGTATATTATATAGACAGTTTAGCAAAATCGTGAACAAAATATAAGATATATAAATTTTAAAAATACAATAAATAAGTTCTTAAATACAAATGTTACCAAAAAGAAGGGGGCAAAAAAGAACAAATACAGAGTTTATGGGACTAGTTTCCTGTGCAGTGAACATCTTTCACAATGAGAAATATAACATTATTCATAAGAATCATTCTTGGTTCATGTAGAAATTGTGTGAAATTTATGTTGTAAGAAAGTGAATTTTACCTTAATGTGTTGATCCATATAGAAATTGCATAAGTAATTTCTTGATATTTATAAACCTATTGTTATGAGTGTATTCAACTTTACTGTCAATTTAAATTATCAAAATCTTTTATACGAATCAAAAGTAATTATATGTTAATATTTATCAAATAATTAATGTAATGGACTTACTTTTGCACCATTAAGTTCTTATCATAATGTTTGGCCATCATTTGATTTATCCCATTTATTATTGTGAGTAATATGTGTATCTGAATAGAAAATAGAAAATAATAATTTTTTTATACAACCGCATTGAACCAGAGAGAGAGAGAGAGTTAAAAAAAAAATTATCTTGAAGCCAGAGTTTTCTTATATATCAAATTTTGCATTTTTTTTTAATAAATAAAAGCATGTCAATTGTAAGTTGTAACCGGTGCATTGGTTTGAGTCTAAATTTAATCCCTTTTAGATTATTTTATATATATATATATATATATATGTATGTAAATAGTGACCATATTTTTTGAGTCAGTTTGCGATGAGATATAAATAGAGACATATTCAATTGAAAATAATGTATTGATCAAACACTATTTAGTTTCAAACTCCACAGCAAACTAACTTTTTTTAAAAAGAAATAGAAATTAAAATAATAATAAATATAATAAACAAGTAAAAGAAAAAAAAACTTTAAATCTTTTTGATAACTGTAAATAAATTTAAATTTTGAATTTCAATATGATTATACAATAAATTATATATTTGTAAATGATTAAATTTGGGAGTCTAATTTCTCATTCACTTTTTGAATACATGAATATTTTTCGCAAAGATAGTTACCATACTGTAGTTTCAGGCAAACTTGAATCCCATCTTGAATCCAATTTTTTGGAAAGCATTTGAGAAACTCTCTGACCAGTCAAGCCAATAAGGTACTACTTGTCGGTGGCAATGTGGTACTTGCTGTAACAGCTCTTGAATCGAATGACGATGTCGATACCATCACCTCTGAATCTTGTGGTAGCCCCTCGCCGTTGATAAATCACCTTCCTCTCTTGCACAACTTTATCTCCACTCATTCACAACTGTGTTGTCTTTACCCATCGCAGCCCATCACGATATCTCACCTTCATTTGAGATCTGAACTCCGACCATTGTTGGAGGCAACCAGTTAATGCAATTTCCTTCAACAACTTATGATGCGTGTCATGACCACCGTATTCTAGCCAATCTTATCAAGTTTTAACCAAACATTCACCAACTAATTTGTAACCCATACTCTGGTGCAACCATTCGTACATTCAATTATTTTTTCTCTTCATATTCAACAGAGGTGTTTTTTTTTTTAATTTTTTTAATTTTTTTGTGGTGAAATGGGTAAGGAATAGGTGTATGACATGGAACGATGCTGTGCTGGCCATGGGTGAGGAAATAAAGGGCAACGACGAGGAGGGACATCGCCGAACATGATGCTTACATGAGACAAAACCATTACCTTTTTTCTTCAATGCAATTTGAACCATTAAATAGACAAAATGATAAAGTGGTATCATCTCATTTACAAAACAGGACAGTCTAATTTTTTGGTAAACTACAGATAAGCCACTCTCTTGTTATAGTAATAGATAGATGGAAGTAACGATTTATACATATCTTTTATTTCAAATGTGGCAATACTTCATGCTTGCGATTTCATTCAAATCCAATTATAAAGAATGTATAGAAGAAAAGTAAAAAAGTAATAGAATTATTAAAATAATAATCATATTATGATATTGAAAGATGTTTGAATTGCAGAGGGTGTTTGGTTGTTTAGTAAATGTAAACTTCTATGCGATATTTAATAAGTTTGGAATGATATTTCCGACATACAAAAATATATGTGTTTTTCAAACTTTTAAAATAATAGTAAATGTTTGCCTATTTGTAGTATTTTTTAAAAATATTTTAGCCAATTAAATATTAAAAAATTGAGTAAAAATAAAGGAAAACTAGAAACAAATTTTGAAAAATTAACTCAAACAGATTTTATTTTTTTTTATCTAAAAATAATTAAACTCCAAACAGCCTCAATCATATATGACGTGCTCTCTTATTACATAATCAAGAGTAAGGACTCGTTTGGAAACTCTTTTTTTTTAGTTAAAAAGTCAAAAAATTATTAAATTAGTTAAAAAGTCAACAATTCATACCAAAAATTAAAGATTTTATTTTCTCTCTACTTTTTATACATCTTTTTGTAAAAAACTAAAAAATCATCCCAAACATACTAATTTTTTTTAGTTCATATTTTAGTTAAGGGCAAATTACATATACACCCCTCGAGGTTTGGTTAAATTACAGATACCCCCCTGAGGTTTCGGAAATTACATCCCGCCCCCTGAGGTTTGTATTTTCATAACCCAAACAGCCTCAATCATATATGACGTGCTCTCTTATTACATAATCAGGAGTAAGGACTCGTTTGGAAATTTTTTTTTTTTTAGTTAAAAAGTCAAAAAGTTATTAAATTAGTTAAAAAGTTAACAATCATAGTAAAAATTAAAGATTTTATTTTCTCTCTACCTTTTATACATCTTTTTGTAAAAAACTAAAAAATCATTCTAAACATACTAATTTTTTTTAGTTCATATTTTAGTTAAATAATCAAAAAATTAAATTTAAAATTTTAAAATTGTAAATATCTTTTTTTTTTTTTCTTGAAACAGAAATTGTAAATATCTAACCTCTATCATTTTGGAAATTTCCAATTCATATAGATGTTTACCGCACTGTTGACCACTGTTGATTACTTGAACACCCCCCCCCCTCTCTCTCTCTCTCTCTCTCTCTCTCTCTCTATATATATATATATATGTTGATTTCACATAGAGAACATCGGATCGGAGAGAAAAATGGTTAAGAACAATTATTTGGCAATGAAGACGACGGGTTCAACAACTTCAACGGAGTTGATAAGTTCTGATCTGCAAGATCTGGGGAACGCCGCAAAGAAGTTCGCAAGTCATGCCATCATGCTCACTTCTGGCCTCGGTCTGGGCTCTGTTCTTCTTCAATGGATAGCTTCAATCGCTGCTATGTAAACATCTTCTCTCTGTCTGTCTCTCTCTCTCTTAGAGATCATTTCATTTTCTTCATTTGATTAAACCCATTTTCTCCTTAATTACTTCTTCACCTTGCAATTGAAATCCAACCTGATCAGTTTGACTTTTTGGATTCAAAATGTTTAGATATAAATGTGCTGTAAAGTTAGAAAAGATAGAATGAAAAGAGTAATATATATGAGAAAGGAATGAGATGCCCTCCGGTTCAAAATCTAGACAGTAAAGCTGTGTTCTGTGTTTGGTAGAGGGATTTGGGATTTGAGAAGAGATTTGAAAAAGAAAAGTAGAAAGAAAATATGTGTGAAATTAGGTAAAATATAGATATATTTTATTCGCATTTTACATTCATTTCTTATTTTTATTTTCAAACTCTTTTCCAAATTTTCTAACTAAACACAGTTATTTGAACTTGTAGAGCCTACGATGGACCCTATTTTAATTATTCTGAATCATTTATTATGTTAGTTATTTCGTCCATAAATAATAAAAAAAAAAGGTAGGTCGATCCAATAAAGACAATTGTGTTTTTGTAAATGAAATATATGAAATATTTAACAAAATAAATGATTTGAATTATTAAAACAAGCTCGCGCCTCACGGACCCAACCAGATCCTCCGGTAAGGTGTGTATTATAGAAATTCACTACTTTTGTTTTATGCAATGGACCCCCTTCTTTGGAATATAAGGCTAAGCTTTGTTCGTAATTGTTCAGAATCTTTTAGTTGATTGTGATTATTTTTTGGAAAAATTACCATTCAGTGGTAATTTTAGAGAATTATTATAAATTTATAGAAAAATTTATAATTTTGATTATTAATATTTATAAAATTTGTCACTTATTTATAATTATTTTTTAAAACTTACCGTGTACTGAAATTTTCTTTTATTTTTTTTCTAGCACACTAAATTTATAAGACTCAACTCTATATCTGTAAACAAATTTTTCATCGTTCTAGTGAGTTATTTTTACCTTTTTTTTTTTTTTCTTACTTTTATTCTCCAATTCTTATTTGATTTTAAAAGTGGCAATTTTTTCTTCTAATCAGTAATTAAAACAGAATATAGTGTAAAAACTCCTTTCAGATTAAATATTCTCCTATTAAATTACATTTTTTAAAAATTAATTTATGTTAAATGAGAGATGCATCATGAGTAATTAAACTATGTAATTGAATTGTGCTAGCTTATAAGAACAACCACGCAAGGATGGATCCAGGGAGGGCGGACCCCCAAAAATTATAAAAATTATACTAGTCATTAATGAGATAATTTTAAAATATGAGAAGTTAAATGTATTTTTACCCCCTCAAAATTCAAATCCTAAATCTGTTATTGTTCTCACGCTTAATAATTTCAATTACTTTTTTTTTTTATCATAAATTCCCACATCTTTTTTTTTTTATCATAAATTCCCACATCTTTCTTCTTTATTTGTTTATTTATAACATGTGCAGATAGTTCTATGACTGCTTCGTGAGAAGTATACCAATGGTCTCTATAGTTTGGGACTTTTATCACTTTGGTTCCTGACCTTTCAGTTGTGATACATTTGATTCTAAATTTTGAATCTCGATCCAAATAAAGACAATTGAAGACACTGTTGTTCCATTTTAAGGACAAAAACGTCAATTTGATAAAATATAAAATAGTTTGACAAAAATAAATGTCAAAAAAATATTTTTGAATTTTTGAAAATTATTTCTAACCACCAAAGATAAAATTATATAAAAATAATAAAATCTTTCACTTTTTACTTTTTTATTTTTTACCAAATTAATTTTTAGTATGTGTTTAGATAATGATCATGTAATGGGTTGTTTTTATTTATGTTTTTGAATGGTTATTACGTAATAGATGGTTGTATTTGTTATTAACAAATATTTTTTGGTGGTTACATGTAATAAATAGTTATTAGACTTTTAATGTGTAATTGATATGTTTAATATATGAAATGTTTTTAGTTTTAGATTTTTTGATTTAACAGATTGATTTAATAATGACATCAAAATTGTTGTCATGTTTGACTTTTGAAAAAGTAAAAACTAATTTAACGAAGATAAATATATAAAAAAAATTATTTTTATCCTCCCAAAAGATAAAATTATATAAAAATGATGTGTTTTAAAAAAAAATTCACCAATTTAATTTTTAGTCTCTTGGAAAAAAATTTTGAAAACCGAATCAAATAACCAAGAAAGCTCTAACATTATTCATTAAAAAAAAAAAAAAATAAAAAAAAAAGAAGAAGCTGTTACATTGCAAACAACACATAAGTTAACCAATACAAAATACGTTATATGACGACTTTGCCCTTGAAATTGACCGTTTTCAAAAGAAATATCTTTGATTGTCTTTGTTTGGAACAAAATTTAAAATTTAAAATCAAATGTATCACAATTGAAAAGTCAGAAACTAAACTGACACAAGCCCAAAATTATAGGGACTACTAGTGTAATTCGCCCATAAAACTACTTGTATGAATGTCTAAATATTATCTTTGCCTTTAGGCTTTGTTTAGTTGGAGGATTTGATTTCCTTTTCATTTCCCTCGTCAAATCTTCCAACCAACACAGTTTTAGAGTTTAAGGTTCTTCTTGCAGTTAGCATATTTTTGACATTCATTGTATACTACAAACCTTAGTAGCAAGAAACTCCGACTTTAATGATGTTTTTTACTTAGAAACTCCATTATATGTTCTATAACATAGAAAATTTTAAGCTAAATTCAGAAATCAAGAAAATAAAAAGGAAAAAGAGTATAAAGGAGGAGAAATTACACACCATCGGTACTTTCAAAAACTATTTACGCACTCATGGAGAAGTTCATGGCTTAATGTTTTAATGTTTATAAAGTTTATCACTAACACGTAATTATTTTTTAAAACTTGCACTGAATTTGATATCTCCCCTATAAGAGAACCCTCATCACAAAGTATATATGAATAATAAAGCTGATTATGAGAAACAACACTAAAAAAATTTAATCTCTTTGTTGGTGCTGCAATAGGTTATGAATCCTTGATTTTTGTCTACTTGCCTACTTGTCTACAAAATATCATTTGTGTTTGGCATATATGAAACTGTAACGTGAGGTCAAATCGAATGAATTTTCTTTTCCATTCCATTTTATTAGTTTTTTCTGAGTAAAAATTTCATAGCTAACAATCTCATTTGTTGCCTTTTCTTATGATTGCTGCAGTTATTTGTTGGTTTTGGATCGAACAAACTGGAGGACCAACATTCTTACCGCACTTTTAATCCCATACATTTTCTTCAGTCTTCCTTCATTAGTGTTCAGCTTGCTCAGGTGAAAACGGATTATCTTTGCTACTTTGGCTTCATACTTTAATTTCTTTTTTGCTGCTTTTAATCTGTCTGACAATGCAGTGGAGAGATTGGAAAATGGATTGCTTTCATCGCTGTGGTATTGCGTCTCTTCTTCCCCAAACATTTTCCTGGTACGATCAATGTTACTTTCAATTTTTCCATCAATTGTTCATGTTTACACTTTTATGTGATTATAAGTAATCTAGTATTAATGTATATGTTACTCATGGCTCATGCCTTACCAACAGTTTTCTATAACGGGGTTAGGGCCCTAGCCCTCACCCATTATATTTTCCCCCCTTTTATAATAGATAGGTGTAAAACAAAGTGAGCCAAGAACGAGACTCATCCCTCAACATTGTGGTTAAGTTGAATTAATATCAGGTGATTTGACCAATGAAGCTACTTCTAAGTACTTGGGGTGGGGGCAGAGGGACAAGCGGTTCCTGGGGTTCGGGGAAGCAAAATGCAATCCTGCCTTACCCGATTGTCATCCTAACACACACTAGTGATCGTCTAAAACATAAGAAAATTAAAAATGATTTCATTTCATGGCTACTAGTAACTGAAGGATATATATACGTGATCATATCATATGGATGATAATGCAGATTGGCTAGAAATGCCAGGAGCATTGATTCTCCTCATCGTGGTAGCTCCAAGCTTGATTGCTGATACACTGAGGGACAGTTTTATCGGTGCTGTAATATGTCTTGCCATCGCATGTTACTTGCTTCAAGAACACATCCGAGCGTCAGGTGGGTTCAGAAATTCCTTCACGAAGAGTAGTGGTGTCTCCAACTCCGTTGGCATAATCATTCTTCTAGTCTATCCTGTCTGGGCTTTGTTTAATGACTTTCTATAGGCACCCCTCTCTCGCAGCTTTGTTGTGTGCATTTCTAAAACAAAATTTTTCTTTTTTTTTTTTTTGGTGTGTGTGTGTGTGTGTTTGATTGGTCAATTTGTTGGCAAAAAACTGTCTGGACCTAATGATTGTTATGATCGTGTATACTGTATGTTGATCTTTCTGTCTAAAAATTTGCATTTGCCAAAGAAGTCTCATAGTCTTGGGATGTGTTTGTTTGGACGGACTGGATAAAGGGGAGATTATAATCAATCGGACTGTTAGTCTCAGGATACATGGCCTTATTTGGTTAGTGTTTCTCAAAAAATTTTGGAAAAAATTCTCTACAAATAAGTTTTCAAAAGTAATCAAGCTAAACAAATTTTTTCAAAACTTGTTTGGTTTACAAGTTTTTCAAACAAATCTCTCTCTCATAACATCAAATCAATCACTTTTTTCAAAATTCTCTCTCAAAATAATTTTTCAAAACATCTTTTGAAAAAAAATCTAACCAAACAAATTTTCGTACTTTTTATCTCAAAACATATTTCTCAAATACAAACCAAACAAGCCCAATGGGATTATTTGGTTGGATTAAATTTGTATCCTATGTTTGTTTAATCATGGGATTAGATGTTTGGATTGGACTATTTTTAGTTAATCCAATATTTGGTTAGACGGACTGGATAAGGATAAATGTTTAAAAGATTATTTTACCCGTGTAATTCATAATTTTTATTTAATATATAATTTTAAATTTGTAATCTATAATTTATAATTTATAATTTAACAACACTAAAAAATTTAATTTATAAGGTCATAATTTTTAATTTATTATTTTCAATTAAATAAATTTATATCTACCTACTAATGATTGAATAAGACTTTAAGATTCGATAATATTTCTATTGAAGTTTGAAAATGTTTGGATAAGAAGAGGGTTGTTTGGTTGACTAAGTTATTTAGTAAGATTATGTTGACTAGGAAAATACCAGGGGAGTGGAGGATGAGTATTTTACTACCAATCTATAAGAATAAATGAGATATCCAGAATTGCAATAACTATAGAGGAATCAAACTGATGTGTCATATAATGAAAGTGTGGAAGAGAATAATGTAATGTTGATTGCAAGATATAACAGAGATGTCAGAGAATCAATTTGAATTTATGCTTAATAAGTCAACAATGGAAGTGATCTATGTTTTGAGGAGAGTAATCGAAAAGTATAGAGAAAAGAAAAGAATTCATATGGTTTTTATCGATCTTGAGAAAACATATGATAGAGTGCCTCAAGATAAAATCTAGTGGGTGTTAGAGAAGAAAAGGGTAACAAAAAGGTACATTGATGTGATTAGGGACATGTATGAAGATGTGGTAACCACTATTAGATCGCCTGCTGGAGAGACAAGTGAATTTGCAATTACTATGGGGTTACACCAAGGATTATGGATGAGTTGATGAAAAATATTCAAGATGATGTGCCATGGTGTATACTTTTTATAGATGAGATCGTATTAGTAAATGAGACTAAAGAAGGAGTTAACACTATGTTGGAGACTTGGAGAGAAGTACTTGAATCTAAAGGATTTAAGATAAGCAAAACTAGGACAAAGTACATGGAATATAATTTTAGTAATAATAACAATGGAAACAAATGAGAAGTGAAAAGTGAGAACCAAGAACTACCTAAGAGTGAGCGTTTTTGTTATTTACGATCGATTATCACAATGCCTGGGGAGATTGGAGCGGATGTGGTCCATAGAATTAAGGCGGTGTGGCTTAAGTAGAGGAGTGCGTCTGGGGTACTGTGCGATAAACGAGTATCCACTAGACTAAAAGCAAAGTTCTATAGAACGACTATTAGACCAACGATGTTGGGCAATGATGCGACGGAATGTTGGGCAATTAAGAAACAACATACAATTTAAATAATGAAATTAAATAAATTATAAACAAAATTTTTAAAATAAAACATCAATAAATATCTATAAAAAATTATTTTTAAAAAAATTAAATAAATAAAACATCAATAAAAAGTTAAATAAAATTATTTTATTTTTAAATTGAGACATTTAAATTTTATTGAATTTTACTAAATATAATACATAATTAAATAGTAGATGGTCAAAATGGTCATTTTATCACCTAATCCCAACAGTGGATTATCCCTCCAAAATTGTCCCACACCCCTCCCCAGGACACAATAATCCCCCATATGGGGGATAAGGAGTCCAACCGGACTCCATGTCCAGCGGATTAAAAAAAAACAAACGGCAGATTGAATGCTCCCTCCGGATTACAATCCGCATAGTAAATAATCCCCCACTTATCCCCCGATCAAACACACCCTTATTGTATTAGCTGTGGATTTATTCAGACAATTGTTATAACTGAAACACCGAGGATGGGGGTACGGGGTAGGTGGTGTCATAGCCATGTTGTGACAGCGGAACGACATCGTTAAATCACATGCAAGCTGTCGTCTTGCTTTGCTGTAGAACAACATTTAGATTTAGGTTGAATTTAGGAAAAGCTATAAAAAATAAAAATAAAATAAAAAAAGAAACACAAGCCTGTGACCACATTTTGTTGTTTAGCCTAAAATTATAATTAGGGTTCACTTTAGGGAAAAAGGAGAAACTTAGGCCAAGTTTGGGTACTTACAAAAAAGTCAAAAAGTCAAAAAGTTACTCAAAAAGTTAAAAAGTTAACACTATTCACCAAAAGTCAACAATTACGGCTGCACAACTCCCAATTACCAAATAGTCCGGGGGATTCACAGTCCCAGGATTCAAGTCCGATGGATTCTAATCTCCCCTTTTCCAGTCCGTCCAATCAAATTGTATTAGCTGTGGATTTATTCAGACAATTGTTATAACTGAAACACCGAGGATGGGGGTACGGGGTAGGTGGTGTCACAGCCCCATGTTGTGACAGCGGAACGACATCGTTTATCTTATTAAAATTAAATTAAAATTAAATCACATGCAATTTGTCGTCTTGCTTTGCTGTAGAACAACATTTAGATTTAGGTTGAATTTAGGAAAAGCTATAAAAAATAAAAATAAAATAAAAAAAGAAACACAAGCCTGTGACCACATTTTGTTGTTTAGCCTAAAATTATAGTTAGGGTTCACTTTAGGGAAAAAGGAGAAACTTAACACCCTACGAAGAAGGGTTTTCCACCATTCTCATAGTGATTCATCATCAGCCTCCATTGCCAATCTTCACTCACAACATCATCTCCTGCTCAATCACTCTCTTATTTTAGGTATTGTAAATTATTTGTGTGTATATATATATGTATGTGTATGTATAATATATATATGTGTGTGCGTGTGTGTGTGTTATTCTTGAATCCACATCCTTAAAAGGGTGTATATCATACGCAAATATGAATTTCATAACTAAAAATAATAATTATTAGTCATAACCGTAGATCACATAGAGAATGATCAAAAACCTTTTCAATCATAATTAAAATAATAATCAAAACAAGTCACAAATAATATCACAATAAGTTATAATCAAGGACGAACAGAGATTTCATTATCGGAGAGGCTAAAAGATAAATATTTTTTTTTTCCCACCATATACACAAACACACATGTATATAGAATATGATATATAAATTATATATATACATAGAAAAATAAATAAATACCGTAGAAGCAATCTCTAATAGATGAATAAGTTTTTTGGGTGCAAAATAGAAAGATAATACCAGTTGGGAAAAGAATGAGATATATATTTTTTATACAGGGGGCCACTTTATATATAAATGATATATATATTTTTAAAGTCATATGACAAATAATATTTTTCATAGAAACAAGGGGCCATGACCTTCCATGGTATTCTCCTAGTTTCGTCACTAATCATGACCAAGTCGTAATTAATACTACAATAAGTTATAACCAAAAGCGATGTGATACTTGTAATCAAAAGAAAAAAGAAAAACGAAAAATAGATGTGAAATTGTTGGTTTGAAGGCAAATCTTGATTTTATTTTATTTATTTTTATTTATTTTTGTGAAAATTGAGCTTATTTTTGCTAGGATTGAACTTCATGCAATTTGTTAATTACTTCTCTTTTTATTTTATTATCAAACCATTGTTATTAATGGAGGTCGATGGACTTGAAAGGAGTATAGAAGATAATGGCAGATTGTTAAAAGAGCACACACCAAGTCTTGGAACTAAGTTTGAATCGGAGGAAATTGCATATCAATTCTACAATGAATATGGAAGAATTATGGGATTTAGTGTTGGAAGAGATTACCATAAGAAAAGCAATAAAGATGGCATAATGGTTAATAGAAAGTTTGTTTGTTGTAAAGAGGGAGAAAAAGATAAACGAAGTGAAATGGTAAATCAACCTCGACAAGACACCAAAACTATTTGTAAAGCATTCATGTATGTCTCTTTAGATCAGGAATTATTGAAATGGGTTGTTACAAAGTTTGATGATACTCATAACCATATTATGCATCTTTCTCAATGTGCTCATATGATGCCATCTCAAATAAAGGTTTCTGAAGCTCAAGGTATAAATATGGAATTAACTAATGCTACTGGTTTATCACTCAAGGCATCACATGATCTCATTAGTACCCAAGAAGGTAAGAGGGAATTTGTAGGATTCACGCGAGAAGACCAAAAGAGCTACTTGCATGTAAAAAAGACAGAGAAATTTGCAATCTAGTGAAGCATGTATTTTGTTGAGATATTTTCATAAGCAAGCTACTAATAATCCATAATTTTACTATGCAATTCAGTTGGATGTTGATGAAATGATAACCAATATTTTTTGGGCTGACCATAAGATGATTACAGATTATGAAAATTTTGGGGATGCAGTTTTATTCGACACAACATTTCGAACAAACTAAGAGTATCAACCATTTGCTCTTTTTACTGGTTTTAACCATTTTAGAATGACAATGATTTTTGGTGCCGCATTACTATATGACAAAACCACATCATCATTTGAGTGGTTATTTGAAGTTTTCTCGCATGCAATGTTTGGGAAAAAGCCAAGTACTATTTTTATAGACCAAGATCAAGCAATAACTAAGGGAATTTCTTATATCATGTCTGCTGTTACTCATGGATTGTGTACTTTTCACCTAATGCAAAATGCCTTGAAGCATTTAGGCTAATTGTACAAGGACAACTCAACATTTGGAAGGGACTTTAAAGCTTGCATTT